TTTATATTATGTATTATATAATTATATTGTATTAGTATATTACTATAGATTAACAAACACTGAAACACTAAAAGATTGGTTTTTATTTTGCAAACCAACACACCTGAAATGTTAAGTGGTTCTTGTTGCAACATGTTCCTTACACACATTTATGAATACTAGCAGATTTACCTTGTACTTTTACTTTTACTTTTGTACAATTGAGAGGAATGACTTAGGTAGCACAGGTGACACAGAATTATTCCGTAAAAAATTTCAGAAATGGCAGGGCCCAGATAACCTTACTTTCTGCAAACTAGTTGATCACTGCATATACAAACTATCAACATGTAAATGAAGCCTGAATTCTTAGACAGGAAGAAAATTCACTGACGTAACATTTCATTTGAAAAATGGACTTAAATTCACCACCTTAGAACAAGGTATTTGTCAACTGTGCCTTTCTTCTCCCAACTCCTTGCAGAGGATAATAAGCGTCAATACTATGGGGAACCCCATGGTACTTGCGCCACACTACCCAAGCTATTTGCAGTTACTGTCTTCAAATCTGAAACATAACTATCAGCTTATTTAGATTAAAAAAAGATTATCCTATAGAGTTCCAACCAGCATGAACAGAATTTTTTATCAGCCATCACGTGCCTGCTTTTGCCAATATAAAACATATTTTGATTATCATACTTTAATAAATGGGAAAAACTCTGAAAGAATCCATGTAGACAACAGTTTTAAATAACATTATCAATAGACATTTGAGTTTCATGTAAACTGGTATCTGGACAGTTCTGCATGTAGGTGGTCATGAAGCCCATCTCTGATTCACCAAATGCCATACAAATATTAAATGCATTCCAATGAAAATCTTCATGTCTCTAGACTGGCCTCCATTTCTTAATCTCTTCTCCCTTCCAAGTTAATAATTCAAACTACCTACTCAATTTCTTCGTGCTTTACATTCGAAGGTTTTTTTTTGCTTTGCTTACAAAACAAGTCCATATGCCTGCTCTATTTAGTACAAGACCACCATAATGCACTGAGATTGTCTAACAAAATTCCTGTTATTCTAAAATTAAAAACCATCCAAAAAACAGATTTTCATTTACTTGCATGATTTACCAAGTCAATGGCTTTCCTATTTCCCAGTACTAGGTATAATTGCATTTTTTACACAAAATACTGAATTGCACCTGATCATAAGTCTTCCGTGTATCTCTTCCAATTAATCATGTCCTATACTGTAAATCTTCCTATAGATACAGTTCTCCTTTCTCATAAAGTAAACTACACTAATATGCAAATAGTCCAATACATTTTAAAGAATATACTCCCAGAACAATGATACGACTCATTGAGTAAATGTGGGACATGCCAACATTAAATGAATCATTTCTTAAGTAAAAAGAAATTTCACTTTAGTTCCAGTTTAATTCTAAAATCAGTTTCACTGCTAACATATAAGGACCTGTACACGCCTCTCTTCTGCAAGGATGGAGGTGGCAGACTGGATCCATTTTAGTTCTTTTGTGACAGAAAAGGATAAATGTTAAAGGAATGAGGAAAGCTAATGATAAGGAGGAAGGTTACAGTGAATTCCTCAAGGAGACTGCCAATAAAGACTGGTCATGTGTTCAGCCCTAAGAAGGCAATCACACAGCTTACTGACGTAGTATCATATGGATTTCTGCAGAAAACACTGTTCCTAAAGAACTATATAAAATTTTTAAAATTAAATAGGAAACCAAAGCAAAGATATTCAGGTGAGTTCAGCCATGTGAAAACTCGTAATTCCCACATCCCACATTTTACTTATCAGAAGCTAAAATAACTGCACAAATATTATATTTTATTTTTAAAAAATTCAATTAGCCAGTTCAGAGACTTACTCAAACTGTCGGAGATGACTAATACTCAGTGAGACCTAGGGGTTCCCAATTATCTCAAAAATTACTGAAAACAGATTTTTCAGCTTTCAATAGAATTGAACATATAATATATATAAACCAATATAAATGTATAAATATATAACATATAAAGGAATATAAATAAAAACACACTCTGATCAATTTGAATCACAGATAATACATGAAACCTTATGGTTGCCTCCAGCAGTTTCAGGAAACGTAAAAATTCTGACTCATAGCTAAGTCTGCACACCGTAAAAAACATGCACTGTAATTCCATGACTCACAACAGCTGTGGAATCGAAGTATGACATTAATTTGAATCTAGTGATGACTAGTAGACCAAAAAAAAACCCCAACAAACATACTTTATGATATGTAGAGATTTTATGAGTTGGTCAAACAAATCTTACCCCAGCAGAATTTTAGCATGAACCTCTTTGTTAGTCCTTGAGATTTCTCTCAAAGAGGTAATTTCTGCATCAAACCAAAATCCTCTTTCTTCTGGAGTCTCAACATTGTAGTTAACCATCACCACATCACCCACTTTTAGTTCACTCCACTTCAGGATGGTTCTTGCCCGGGGTCGAAGATTACTGGTGTCCATTTCTACTATGCCATTCTCTGGGTACCTTGAAAAGTAAAACCAACAACAGTAATAATTACGACTCCTGTAACAGTAAGAAGTAAGTCACAGACAACATTTTTCAGAAGTGTAAATTTTTAAATGTGCTTTGGGCATATAAGAAACGTAGTATAAAAATCTGACCTAATATCCTTTTGAAAGTTTAGTTTTCATCTAAACACAGACCAGGAATTTGACTAATCTCAAATAGAAAAAAAAGCCTCCACAAGTTTTCTCTCAAAAAAAAAAAAAAAAAAAATTAAAGTAAATCTGTAAGCACTGGATGACTTTTTGATTGGAATGCAATCAAGTTCAAGGTTTTGGCACACACATGGCCCCAGTTTGCTCCCAGTAAAGTCAACATTCCAATTAAAATGTCAATGAAAAAGTAATGAAGATTAAAACTAGGTGTTTCAACTCAGCATATTTCTAATTCAGCTTTGCTTTTATGCATTTTTTACATTTCCACTAACTTCAATAACAACACATTTAGGACAGTTTTTTAAAAATTTGACCCTACGAACACAGCACATCAATTTCATGTGGTGAATATAGTCCAAGTCCACATTCCATGCACCATGTTTAAAACAAAAGTCTAACTACAAAATGTAGTAAGTGAGAAACAGAACTAAGACTCTCAATGAGATACATGAACTCACAAATTGAAAATGTTTCTCCCTTTAAATCGCAAAACCAAAAAAACTAGAAAGAGAAATGTGGGCATCATTCCTTCTCTTGACAACACACTTCTCTTGGCAAGATGTAGTAAGGAATGCAATATTAAAAGAAATTAATGGTTCACTGAATTATAATTAAGAAATTTTTGGTTGATTTATTTTTCACTGAAACTTGGCAACTTCTTACACAGTATCTTACATAATATTACCCACAAATTGCTAGGGCTTATAGGAGACTGCTTTCTTCCTCCTGTGTTGGTGGTATGCCATCACAGCACATATACAAAAATCAAAGAGTAATGAACAATTTCTGAAAAGCTCCAATTCCTTTCCAAGTTGAGAAAGACTCACTTAGCAGAATTAAGATAGTGATATTTGACAGCACTACAACTAAAATCCCAATGCAAGAAAGAAAGCTTTTAAGATTTGAGATGTTAACTTTTCAGTTTAACACCACAACCTTCTTAAATCCTCTGTATAAGGCAATTATTCAATGACAGTAGAGCCTGTATAGTTTGGAAAAACGTGCACAATATGGACATGATGAAAACACTGCATTCAGAAAAAAGCTGGCCTGTTACAAAAAGAAATAAAAAGTAAGATGCTAGACTAAACCAGTGAAGTTCCTTTCCGATACCGTGTGTAAGCGAATAAAGAATCTGCCATCATTTAAGTAGTACTAGATGAGGTCACAGTACAAATTTAACAGAGAAATGAAAGTAAGTCTACTGGCTATAAACAAGTGCTATTAGAAGTTCTCTTTTTTCCTTCTAACAAACATTGCTGATGATATATCTTAAACTGCATTTCCATCATGCAATTATTGGTACTTTAGCAAGAGCACTCATGCTTTATAGTTAATATACCTTTATCAAACAGCACTGATAAATCGTAATGGCAAAATTCTACTCTTACTAATAGAAGTACATCTCTGTCACTTTCCAGCATGCCTCCCTGTAGTGAACAAGATCATTTCAAGGTCTTGTAACTTACTACATTACTACATAAAGAAATACTAAAACTACTGTCATTAACAGCATGAGGCTCTGATAGACTATAGCCTGAAATCAGGATGTCTACTCCTAAAGAGTTAATTGAAAGCCCACTGATGTAATTGGAGACATTTTAAACAAGTTCATTTTGCTTTGTTTTATGCCTCCTATTAAATCTAACACACCAGTTTACTACTACTGATAAGGTAGGGCAGGGCCTTGACCTGGCATTCTATCTCCAGGCATTTCTTTGTCCTCTACCATGCAGATATCCAGAGTGTGCCTTAAATTTGAAGGAAGATTTAACAATTTTTTTTGTTTAAAGAAACATGAACCACAGCAGTTGAAAAGTGGCTGTACCTTTAGATAAACCAATGGCCAAGTAAAGAACCATATCCTTAACTACTTACAAAAGTTAAATCCAAAGAGTGTTTTTTCCCCAACATTTTCAGATCCTAATTACAAAAATCTGCATGACAGGAATTATATCATACAAAGACAGGTGCTTGGGATCGAGCTATTATCCAAATGACAGTCTCATACGATGTAACTCTCCACGGTTCCTAAATTTTTTTACTTGGTTTTGTTTGCAATTTGAGTGTGTACTGCAAAGCTAACATTTGTGGTTTTACCTTTATGTCATGCAGCTTTCCCTTAAAAGAACTATTACACAATTCTACTATAACAATCATGAACGTGGTAACTGTAATATCCACAAAAACCGTAAGGCAGATTCATCTACAGGTAATAAGACAAAGCAAAAAACAACTATAGAGATAATGTCTATTTTATTGAGTGCCTGAATAATGACATCACGTTATAGTACAACAGGCTACTGAAATCTTAAGACAGCTATGTTTGAGCTACTAGTCAGTTCCAATCATCTTACAATAAACCCTTCCTAAAGGTTGGAGAAGACAGCAAGTAGCACACAGTAAATGAAGACTCAGTTTCGGAAACGAAAATAGAGCTTAAACATCAGGAAACTAAAGAAGATAGATAAAAAATAGACATCATTTATGTATAGACTGAAATAATCAAGTGAGAAGTACATATAAGATCAGTGGGATTGTAAAAAAAACCAACACACATTAAAAAAGTTCCAGTGTCACTAACAAAAAAAAAAAAAAGAAAAAAAAAAGAAAAAAAAATCAGAACATGTAACTTAAAACAGTCTACATTCACAGAAACTTAACTTTGACCTGAAAAATCTATTCTCTTCGAAAAATAAAATCCTTTCAGGTTCTGTTTTTCCTGGGAGACTTGGACAAATATATTTTTTACTTAATGATTAAGAAATATTTTTTTCCCAAATTCAGACTTGCGTCATCTTTCCCACCCCTATACAACTCAGAACAGAATCTTTCCTACTGCACTGCTGAGGAACTTCAAAGATTGTTAACAATGACTCCACCTCTGTTCTTGGAAGTATCTGATGAAAGAACCCAAACAAAGAAGATTGCTTATCAGCATAACTAGAACAAGATCACTTACCAAAAGACACCCCCCAAAGTCCCCTTTTACAGACAGAAAGAAACTAACTGCTTTCCAAAGAAAGAAAAGGAAGGCAAACTCTTAACTGAGTAAATTTTTCCTCTTATTGGCTGGTCAGAAACTTAAGCTCAGAAACTTTGGAAGAAAAAAAGATAGCTTACAAACAGGTGATATTTCCCTTGTCAGAATTCACCTTTCTTTTGCATCAGGTTCCAGACATTGAGTGTTTTGCTGCTGTGCCTTCACACATAGAAATACGCTTTTATGGACATCGGTGAATTCTAGCAGATAATCTACCATTCACGTTTGTCCACAACTGACACCCAAGGCAGGACAGCAGAAACAGCATTTATTACAAGTTTTTGAGTTAGGCTCAAAATCACACAGAGTCACACTATATATGTTAAGCACAGTACCAATATTCCTCATTATGCTAAGTAATGAGTAAACAGTACTTCCACAGAAAACTTGTGCCCTCAAATGTATCTAATCCCACAATTTACCTGAGTAAGTATGGAAAAAACACACTCACATTAGAAAATGCTACTACCTTCCATGTTAGTTTTCCCAAAGTTTAACAAGTTATTTGTAAAAATCCCACATTAACTTAAAACCTAATCTCTTAAATATGCAAGAGTAATATTTAAATATAGTATCACAAAATGAGAATACGTGGACTTATGTAGATAAACCAACACATAAAGAGAACACATATGATCCTTTAACAAGCCTCAAGAATGAAGTGAAAAACCCATTCCGGCAAGCTATAATAAAGGACTACTGTTAGACATGAATGTTTACTGAAAGTGTTTTCTTATTTATTGAGTTACTTTTAAAATCCTAAGATGACCCTCAAGAGAAAACAGAAACATTTTCACAGCAGTGTTCTAATTAGATTGGCATAAGTTTGGTACAGTTGAAATGAAGATTGTATGACACAATTCAATCTTTAAACTTAAAACAATTGTAGACATTTTCTTGGTTTTCCATGTTTTTCATGACACTTGGCACCTAATATTGAAAAAAGCAGACATTGTAACAGTAAGCATAATCGTAACAGTTTAATGAATACCGCCCATAAGAAGTCTCATGTTCATCGTTAAGCTGTATTTCCCTGTAACTTAATTTTTCTCTCTAATACTTCTAACTGTAAATACTAACACTAGCATAGCAAGGATTTCTTAAGATTTCCTATCTGTGTGGACAGTTTCCATAGCAAAGAATTATCCATGAAGTAAAAATTCCAGTGTTTCTTGGCTATGGTCAATATCTGCTCATTCCTAAAATGCTCAAATATTAAAAAACATATTAACTCTATGTCAGAATATACACAAGTCTGCTCAATTTACTGAGATCTTGCAACATATCCTTCAACACTTCTCCCAGCTGTTACCAGAACAACTGGAACTGGAAAGATAAAGTTCTTGAAACAAAAGTCAAGACTTTCCCATCCCTTCTCCACAATAGTATGGTAAGGAATGTCAGTGCAGATGTGCAATGTCTTCAATTGTTATTTTCCAATATAAATAGAATGAAAGTATAATTTATTTTCCCAATCAACAAACTCAGAAAAGAGTCATTCAATACACACCCAGAAATGAAGGAATAGAAGGGCGCAAATAAAAGAAGAAAGAAAAAGGAATGAACTCATTAGAGGAGGTAAATCTGATTAAGAAGGTAAACCTGAATAAAAACTACATTCACACCACCACCACCACCCCGATAATTTGCTACCTGAGGAAATAATGACCATAATTTTGCTCAAGTATTCTGAGAAAGCGAATGATACTATACTGGAAGAGCATCTAAGCCACAATTATGAATGGAAAGAAAAAAAAAAAAAA